GGTTTCCACAGGTTATAAACTAGTATGAGAATAACGGCTCCAAATGCATTTCTTTCCTTTCAACGTTTCTAATCTCCTTCATTTATGGCCAAAATCACTGATATCTCGCATCCATTTGATTAAGTTGCAGGATTACTCATATATCCTTTCCAAAATAATTCAATGTTCCTTATATGGATTTCTATTTTCTTCACTGCCTTCTAGGAAACGATTGCAGTTTTTGTAGGTCAAAATTTTCATCCCATTGATCGATATGACTAGACTATTGGGAGCAACAATTTGGGGTACATTCTATTTCTCAAATCCATCAGTAATTCAACATTCTCCGGTTGACATGTCCTCCAATCAAAATGCTTCTGCATCAATCAGGTACTTATTAATTCTTTTATTGTTACAACATCTATATACTCAGTTTATGATCTTATGTCTCAACGGTTGTAAACTTGTGTTTTTTTTAACGTTTTAATAGAACAAAAATGCAAGGTGGATACTTTACAAACTAGATTATTTTGACTTGCACACTATATGCTCGACAAAATATGCCATAATGAAGAATATTATGTTTGCTTTAAAAACAATATCATATGTAATAAATCAAAATCCTAACCAAAATTTAAATTTATTTGTTATCTCAATCAATCCCATTATAACAAGGGTATATATGTTTTATATTGCTGCAATCGCTTCATTTTTGTAAATTGTTCAGGAAGCAAGAACAATTAGATTTCTAATGATTGGAATTGCAACAGAGCATATGAAAGGTATTATTTCATTTATGTCGATTTTCAATATTTATGTTTTAAGTGTTGGAAAAGTGGAAATCATTTGAACTTTGAGTTTGTCTCCTTTGTAATATCTGTCCACATGCCTTTAGGTCCTAAATATAATATATTTTTCTTAGTCATATATGTATAACTGGAAATATGACTTGAGTTGAACTCTTCCAAACTAAGAGACAAGTAGGGGCTTTGAACTTCAATATATTCAGATGCAAGCGAGATGATTCTATGGTTCTTGAGAGTTGTTATATTTTTCCAATGCATTCTGAAAATGTATCAGGGTCTGAAAGCCCCTCATTTCCATTGCCATAACCAGGTTAGCCCTCATCTAAATTTTGAGCATTATACATATAACGCAGACAACTTTAATTTGTCAGGTAATCCCATGGATTTCTTTTCCCTTGATTTTGAATTAGTTTTTCCAAGACTGTTAATACTTGCTCTTCAATGTGATTAAAGCAACTTAGAATGAGCTCAATACATTCTTATCATATATGTGTGTTTATGTTCAAAAAGAGTTTGGTGTGTATACATATGCTCCAATCTGATTAGAATGTGTTTATGATTGTGTATGTTTATCTGTTCTTGAAACTACATTTTTTATGTCTACAAATCCATTCAAATATGATCTTCTTGACCAAAATTTTTTAAAATATGTTTTTGTATTCGAAATTTGATTATTTTTTCATGTGGAAAATGCTTGAATATGAAATTTACTTTGCTTGAATCAAGTTTCATGATGTGTTTGTGTTCAAATATGAAAATATGATGGATTTGTGTTCAATTTTTTTCTCAACATATTAATAAGTAGGTTGGATATTCATTTGTATCCGAGGGCTACGGTTATGCGATCTGGTAATTTATTTAAACAGGGACCATTTATGCATTTTTTAAAAGCAGGGACCATTTTTGTTAATATTTTTAACGTGGACCATTTGTGCATTTTTTTAAGCAATAACCATTTTTTTTTTAATTTTTTTAAATAGGGTCCATTTTTATGTTTTTAATTCTTGTTGATTTTGTTTAAATAGTGACCATTTGTACATCCATCACAAAAACATTTACCATTTTTGTTAAAAAATTTCACAAGGGCCATTTAATTCTGGGGTTAATGATGCTTATTCTTCAAAGCTTGAATGACATGTTGAATTGATGAACATGTGCTTAATGACATTAAGTTGAAGCTTTTGTTGCATTAATATTTCTCTTTATATAAAAAATGTTTTGATTATTTAGCACAACAACTCACACGATTCTCAACTTTCAACAAAATTTTCAGATCAAGAATTATACAAAAAAAATGTTAGGAATATGGAGCTAAAGGGGGTGGCGTTGAAGATGATACAAAGGTATATTATTTGTATTTTTTTAGTTCATTACATGTTTGATCATATCCCGGTAGGGGTATTGGAAATGTTACATCTTTGAAAATGGCTTTGAATGTTTGAATTTGATATTGGCTACAATTATTTGCATGGTGAGTATGAGAATAGATCTATAAATGTAGCAATCAACTTGGTTTGAAGGTCGACAATGAACATGAGGTTTGTAATTATCTACATTATTTTAATTTGTATACGGTGTGGTACATGAATGTGCTACTTTTGGAGAGACATGTTATGCTGTTGGAGTTTTAGAAGATGATAGGGAATATATTGATGTCATTGAGAAAGCAAGTCAATCAGGTTTTGGTTATTATTTATGGTCTTTAATTGCAACCATGCTAAAGTCTAATAGTTTGTCTATAACGTGTTATGTTTGGGAAAATACAAAAGAGTATTTGTCAGGTGCAATTCTAGACAATCAAGTACAATCAACAACTCAGATTAAAGTCTCTAGGCATTATGATATTTCTCATTATTTAATATATGCATTAATTATTTATTTCTTAGTTACTAAATTATATTTTTTCAATCACAATTACTATTTTATATATATGTATAAAGATTAGTATTCAAAACATTATTTGTATTACGATTGACTTGCTTACTAATGATGAAGTTAAGGACTTGACAACTTTATATGATTGTTTTTTTTTACTCCAGAGCAATTCAAGCATCAAAGAAGTCTCTCCGGAAATTTATGATTTTGAACATTTATTAAAAATATGTCAATAGTTTTTTTTATTAGTATAGATTTAATTACCTACTTATTCATCATTTTGTTTATATTTATTTTGAAATTTTATTTTAAAAAATGTTTAATGTTTACACTTTGATATTCAACACAATTATTTAAAATGTGTTAATAGTTTATTTATTACTAGTATAATTTGAATTACTTCATTATTCATCATTTCGTTTGTATGTATTTTAAAATTTTACTTTAAAAAATGTTTACACCTTGATATTTAATTTTTTTTATTAGCTTGTGTAATACACGGGTTTTACACCTAATATTTTATAAAAAAATAAAAAGTAAACTCCAACATAAAAAGATATACATACATGTAGTTCTTAATTTTCTTTTCCATTTTTCTAAACATTTCTTTAAATCCAAGTTTTATTTAATTCTAAATTTTACTTATTTTATTAAAAAATAACTAGGGAGGAGAATGGCAAGTCTAATATTGTAATTTCAGATGATAGCAAGACATGTATGTCATGGGGATTCTATGCCTCTCCTATGATGTATGTGCATAATGCTTTAACTTATAAATAAGTTCCTTAAGATGGGGTAGTGTAAAAAGTTCTCTAACTAGGGAGGAGAATGGCAAGTATAATATTGTAATTTCATATGATAGCAAGACATGTATGTCATGGGGATTCTATGCCTCTCCTATGATGTATGTGCATAATGCTTTAACTTATAAATAAGTTCCTTAAGATGGGGTAGCGTAAAAAGTTCTCTAGATACTTCGCAGGGAAATGACATAAAATCCCTTAAATTTGGCAAAAATGTACAGATTTACCTTTTTGGATATCTTTGTTTCATTAAAGTTGGAGGTTTACAACTTTTTTTCAATTTTACCCTTTTTGCAAGTTTACCTACCCAAAAAAATGAACATTTCTACCAAACTTAAGGGCTTTAATGACCAAGAAAATGGGTAAAACCAAACATTTGTGTTAAACGGAAGGGCTTTAATTAACCAGAAATACACAAAAGGGTAAAAGTGAAAAAAAAAAGTTGCAAACCTCGCTTTAATGAGCCTAAAATATGCAAAACGATAGATCTACATATTTCTACCACACTTAAGAGCTTTTATGTTGTTTGCCCTACTTCCTCAACCATATAGACGCTTATGGTTTTATATGGACAACATGGTAATTTTAACAAGATGTCGTGTCTTGGTATTACCAAATACTACACAAACAATATGTTCATGGTGTCTTGTGTACCAAAAACACTATCTAAGCCAACAAAATCCATAACAGGAAAATCATTAGAGCTTATGAAAGTAGAAGAAGCTCGAACAATTTTTTTGAAAATATTGGACCTATTTGATATAAATACAGTTATAGTGAAGCATATAAGATCAAGTAGGTCCACTATTTTCATGCTTATTGTTGGAACTTCTATTAAACTCAAACTGTTAATGATATCATTTTATATTGTATAGATTTTCTTCATTTAGCTAGCGTATGTTTCACAAGATACATACCCACAATAATACTATAGTACTGAACATATTGTTTGTAGAATGTCTGGTAAGACTAAGACATGCCGGATTGTCCTTCATATATAAAATCATAAATGTCTATAATGTTGAACAAAGTATTAAGAGAAATCACAGTACCTTCATCTTTGGTCAAGAAACTCATTTATGACAAAAGCATTATGCACATACATCATAAGAGAAGCACAGAATCCCCATCACATACATGGTTCATTATCATCTAAAATTAGATTATTGCCAATATTACTTCCAAGGAGTCACAAACTATGCTCTCGATATATTAGGTCCTATCATTTTAGATGATTTCTTATAACATATATTTTGCATATGCATGACCTTTCTGTAATTTCCACGCACAAAAAGTCACAAATATACATACATCTAACGGAAGTACATTGGTATGTTAACAATGATTAAATCCATCAAATATAGAATCTAAATGATTTGAGCGAAATTAAATTTCGTCCATTTGACAACCGAACACACTAGGAAATGGAATGTCGAATTCCAGTTCAATCAAATACTACCGGTATCTGCAAACCAAACGCGCCCATAGGTTTTCACAAAATGTAGATGAAGGTAAACCTTTTTGGAAAACAAATTATCGCAAATATAATTATAAATCATTCTAGATTTTATCAATTCAGGTCTTGAAAACTAGCTAGTGTTAAAGGTACCAAAAGCATACCCACATTAAACAAAATGATACCAACATACGAACACAAAGTCGGAAGCAAAAGTAAAGTAAAACGCATACAAGTCTTCAGTCTTCAAAGAAGTCACTTTCTGAAAAGTCATCATACATTTGATCATCGTCCGAATCAGAAAATTGATGATAAAACGGGCGGTTTTGTGTAGAGCTGTGCTTAAAATCTTTGATCCTTTTCTTGCATAACTTTCCTAAAGACCCATCAAGATCAAGGTTATAACACATCCGAACATCTAGGGACTCAAGGTGAGGGCATCCATTAACAATGGCCTCAAGTCTGTCATTTGTCATCTTAGTATCAGATACATCCAAATGGCGTAACTCATGCATGTTATCCGCGATGGCAAGGGCATGATTGTCAAAGCTCTCACTCAACAGTACTTTGCACATCTTGAAGGACTTGAGCTGAGGGCAAATCCGTCCAATAACTTCAAGGTCTTTTGCATTGATATAGGTTTTAGAAAGGCGAAGTTCCTCCAATTTTGGTAACCTCTCGACTGCAAGACTCAATTCACCACCCGTGATACGGAAGCAATTCACAAGACAAAGACGTTTCAGGTTTCTTGAGCTGTTCATAAGTCCAAATTCAAGCCAAATTATGTAAGATGATAAATTATCCTCAAAATTGTATTCCACAAACTTATTTATTTTTTCATAATTGATGGGGCGTATTTATATTTTATGCAGTATGACTATGAAACTGAATAGCAATGGGAAAGGGGAGAAACTTACCGTTTCACAATGTGATCAAGGAGTTCGTCGGAGCCGAAGGAGCCGATACTGATATCAATCAACTCCCCACAGCTGAGATCGACTAGTTCCATAGTCAGTGCTTTTCCCCAGCCCCAATCTTTACCTTGCCGTTTGACCATATTAATGACTTTCCACATCGCCGGATACTTGCAAATTTTCAGCCAAGTTGTACATACTTTCCGTGCGCTATTCAGTATTTCTGATATATGCAATCTTTGAAATATATTCACCATCACTTCGTCAGGCATTTGTAGCCAATTTGGGGATTCTTTCATCGCCGACCACGGCTCTGCGGTAGAGATCGACTCCATTTCAACTATGCAGTAATTTTACCGAATGGGTTTTATCTTCACGATAAGTTTCTCTAGGTTATTGAAAACCCTCTTTTTTAACGGAGAAGACTGAATTACAAAAACTGACCCTAGACTTTATGCGTTCTACGGATAAAGTCCTTTAAGAAACACATATTTGTTGTTTCCCCGAATTAAATTGGTCCACGTTCTTTTTCTTTTAAATTACCTTTTAATAATGGTTTTTGCCGTATAAAGGTGTTTGGTCCATGTTCAAAGACTCTTTTTACTTCTATTATTGTTTACTTGTATATTATATGTATATTACTGTTTTTAGGAATAATCTTTTATAAGAGTAATATAATATAGTTTTGATTTAGTATATATTTAATTATTTATGTTTTTTTTTGTATACATATGAACATTAAACTTGTTTGAATTATTTACAAATATCATTATGACCGGTTAATGTCTGTTTTTCGACCAACAATGTTTTTCTTTTGTACACATTTAATGACTTATGTTTTGTTTTTATACACATTTAATCAATTATGTTTTGCTTTGTACACATTTAGTCACTCATCATATGTTTGATTTTTCTAGAAGTTCAAGAACCGAGTTCATGTGTTCATCTAATAAGAAAACTGGGAGTTCATGTGTTCATCTAATAAGAAAACAGAGAGTTCACATGTTTTTCTAATAAGAAAACCGAGAGTTCATGTGTTCGTCTGAAAAAGCAGAGTTACTAGGTCCATATAAAGAAGAAGAAAAAGAATTGGTTATCTTCAGAGGTAATTGATTTTGGGAACTTAAAGAGTTAGGCAGGGTTTATAATTATGCAATATTCTACAATAACATCCTACTAACTCATGGACTAGCTGTTAGAAAAACACATATAACAGTTTTTCGTGAGTACTCCCAAATCCTCAATTGGATAAGATTCAGAGAAAATCAGAGAGAAAGAAAGAGAATGAGATGGTGTAATTTCGTGAGTACCAGAAAACTGACTAAAATTGGTTATAAACCTTCCTTGTCTGAAAAACTGTCATATAACAGTTTTTCTCAACAGTCAAAACTGTTATAAATCCGGGTTTTGTATAAGAATTAATGTTAAGAAAACCAGCCAGGGGCTCTGCCCCTTGGACCCAGCCAGGGGCTGCCGCCCCTTGGACCCTGCTCCCAGGGGCGCTGCCCCCGGACCCCTGTTCGTTCAGGGGTTTCGCCCCTAAATGACAGT